GGGCGGGTATGGGGCCGGGGGCGGGGTGGGTATTAACATCCCCGCCCCCGCCCCTACCCCCGATTTTATCAATCGGGAAAAACTCGAACCCGAACCCGGAACCCGATAAACACGGGTTTTCCCCATCCAAATCGGGGCGGGTTCGGGCAGGTACCCACGGGAGCGAGTTAGATTGCCATGCCTACATAGGAGTAAGGTTTGTTTTTTTTTTTTTTTGGATTAGGAGTAGGTTGCTAAACGAATTTAATATTTTCTATTTAATCAATATTGATTTGACCGTTGAATAATAATTATATAATGTTGACAATCTTGTTATATAAATTATGGTATTAAATATAATATGTATGTCAACTTTTCTTTGTAATGTATCTACTTAAGTAATATTTTTTATTCCTATTAGAGTTCATGATCCTAGTCAGGTGTAGAAAAAAATAATAAATCCTAGTCAAGGAAATCAATTTATTTTCTAATTTTTAATAATTTTATTTCTCCCTATATAAGATACAATATATATGTCTACATATGTATTAATATTCATAAAATATAATAAATATTTAATTATAATTATGATCAAAATTCATAAAACATGATAAATACAAATGGTAATCTTGCAAATTTAATTTGAGAACATACTTCTTCTTTTTCTATAGATGGGAGAACACCTTTTTTTCATGACAAAGTGAACATACTTCTTATACGTTATTAAAAATAAAAAGTTATGAATCATTTTATCATAACATAAATTACTTCTTATAATTTACATATATACTATTGGTAAATTATCCAAAGTTTCGGTATTCGATATGCAAGGACGGAGCCAAGGGGGACCTACGGGTGCCACGGCCCCCCCAACAATTTTAATTTTTTTTTATATACATATATATTACTATATGGCACCCCCTATTTTTAATATAAACTCATATGTATAATTAAATGAATAACCCAAATTTATTTTTTTATTCAACTTTTGGACTTCTGGTACGGCCTGCTATGTGGTATCACTTTGGAATTTTTTTTTTTTAAAAAAATGTAGCGCCTCATTTGATCATTCCAATTCTCGGCCCCCCAGTATTGAAATCCTGGCTCCGTCGATATGGATAGGTGAAATAAGTTAAAATATTAATATTTTTTTTCTCATTAATTTAATATTGAACCTGATGAATTCATCGTACTTGATTATCATAGTTGTGATGTCAAGCATGCATATCCCGAATAATCCAATCCGATCCCTTTTAATTTGTTTGAATATGAAACATTTTTAAATTCGAACAATTTATCTAAGTTTTTATGACATAAAAATTTACTTAAATGTTTGAAAGAGTATATGAAAATAACTTGTGCTACATCGCTTAGATTATTAAATATCTATTTGTAATTTTTTAATATGTAATTTTTCCTTACACTCTTTAATTTTAAAATTCAATCCTCAATTTAAGAAATTTGAAATCTTATTCTCATTATTAAATATCTATTTGTTAATTGTTAAAATTGTAGTCTTAATCACAATTTGACATTAAGTAAATGTTATGAGAATTAATTAATAATTTTTTTGGTTAAATTTAAACTTTTATTTTTCATTGTTATCTTTATTTTTTTTTATATCACTTTTATGAGATAAAAATAAAAAATAAAATCATAATTTAACTTAAATATCATTAAATATTGATTATCATAACATTTATTTAATGTCAAATTATGATCAACAATATAATTTTTATAGTCAAAGAATGAATATTTAACAAGGTAACCCAAATTACAGATTTTATAAAATTATAAATTAAAATTACAAAATTAAAAATTAGAAAATTAAAATTGCATATCGAATATCATAAAAACAAAAAATATAATTTAACAAGATTAATAATGTTTAATTAATATAAATCACTTATAAACTTAAATTAACTTTTTATCATCATTTTTGAGATACAACATGAATCATGTTGATTAAAAAAAAGACTTGTACATAAATTTATTTGACACGTTATAAATCTTTTTGCAATGCTTTTCTTTTATTAGAATATATCTATCTTCTCACTCTCCTTTATCATAAGAAAGAAAACTCTCAAAATGGTCTTCAGTCTCTACAATGAAGAGAGTGTAATAAATTCTGTTCTTTTCCAACGAAAAAGGAAAATCAAACTAATTCTGACGATATTTATCGTTAAGGGCCACAAACAAATGCGATTATCTGACGAAGAAGATTATTACCAATAACGTGCCATGCATAAATTAAATTTGACGATATTTATCGTTAACCGTCACTATAACAAATGTGAATACAGCTACAAAAACAACAAAAGCAAATGTGAATATGAATATTGATGAGCCTAACGTGTCATGCACATAGTTCATTTCTTCGAGAAACATTTCCTAATAACATGTTTTAATTTATGTCTGCACAAAGACCACAATTGGGCACGTCATAGTACATTGTAAAACTACGTACGATACCTATATAAAGGATTAAAGCAGTCCATGATGTTGTTAAAGATGCCACAAAATGTGCTTATTCAGCCACCTGTATATATATGTGTAACAGAAGCGAATCTGTGGTACACTGAACGCGGAACTCAACAAACAGAACTTAAGTCATTCTAGAAAAAGAGACAAATATAAAGTGTGTTTAATTCATTTTTTCTTCAAATCAAACCGAAACGTCTATTCCTCTTGACGCTTCTTCTTATCCCTAGTACAATACATAAGAACATGACGCTTCATCGTTCTTTTTTTTTGTCTGCATTAGCAAACGTTTAGTGTAAGACATACACGTTAATTTACCAATATACGTTATAAATGGATACAACGTACAGTGATGCACCGCTTCACGGTTTTATGATTTATAGAAAAGAATAGTGTCAGGGGTTCTACAGTTGTTATCACATAATATATTGCGCATTTATGAGATCATTAGCTCATTGGTGTCTCCTGAGATTAATAGGGACACAGAGGAATCATAGATCAATAGGGTTTTAAAGCTGTGTCTCTAAAATTTGCAGGTAGATATGGATCAGGAGATGGCACCCATAGACATAGAATCTCAAACTCAGGAAACCCCTGACATATTTCACAAAGGAAAACGTCCTGTGGTTCTTAAGGTATGCATGCATTACATAATGTCCCTCTATTTTCCCCTATAATCAAATTCTATAGCCTTTCAAATAGTTATATAGTATGTTTCTATCGCAATGAATCATCTTGTTTAGTAGTCCCCAGATGCATTTTCAATCCTGTAGATAATTATTCTTTTTGCAACTTATTCTTGATAGTACTTTTTTTTTCAAAACATTATATAACTTTTTCCCCATAAGTTAAACCAAATCCATGCACACTTTCTTCTTCAACATTCCTCTTTTATTTCTATGGAAAAATCAGTTTAAAAAAATGTAAAAAAATGATTTTGATGTCATGTCGCGATTTTGGTTGCGACAGATAGGGTGTGATGCTTCCAATTTTTTCCCTTTAGAAGTTATTGTCAGCATGATAATAAGAACCACCGCTGATTTTTGTTTTTACATTTGAATCACTGCAGTTTGATGATGTTGTCTTTAAAATCAAGCCCAAGAAAGGTGGACCATTTGTGAAGAACGGAGTGGCAGAAGAAAAAGAGATTCTGAAGGGAGTGACTGGTGTTGTTGAGCCTGGTGAGATGCTAGCCATGCTGGGTCCATCTGGGAGTGGCAAAACAACTCTGCTCACAGCATTGGGAGGAAGGCTTGGAGGGAAGCTTGATGGAAACATAACATACAATGGCCAAGCCTTCTCAAATGTAATAAAGAGGAACACTGGCTTTGTTACTCAAGATGATGTTCTCTACCCGCATTTGACTGTGATTGAGACCCTAGTCTTCACTGCGCTTCTCAGATTGCCCAACAGTGTCACCAAAGAAGAGAAAGTTGAGCATGCAAGAGCACTCTACAATGAAGAGAGTGTAATAAATTCTGTTCTTTTCCAACGAAAAAGGAAAATCAAACTAATTCTGACGATATTTATCGTTAAGGGCCACAAACAAATGCGATTATCTGACGAAGAAGATTATTACCAATAACGTGCCATGCATAAATTAAATTTGACGATATTTATCGTTAACCGTCACTATAACAAATGTGAATACAGCTACAAAAACAACAAAAGCAAATGTGAATATGAATATTGATGAGCCTAACGTGTCATGCACATAGTTCATTTCTTCGAGAAACATTTCCTAATAACATGTTTTAATTTATGTCTGCACAAAGACCACAATTGGGCACGTCATAGTACATTGTAAAACTACGTACGATACCTATATAAAGGATTAAAGCAGTCCATGATGTTGTTAAAGATGCCACAAAATGTGCTTATTCAGCCACCTGTATATATATGTGTAACAGAAGCGAATCTGTGGTACACTGAACGCGGAACTCAACAAACAGAACTTAAGTCATTCTAGAAAAAGAGACAAATATAAAGTGTGTTTAATTCATTTTTTCTTCAAATCAAACCGAAACGTCTATTCCTCTTGACGCTTCTTCTTATCCCTAGTACAATACATAAGAACATGACGCTTCATCGTTCTTTTTTTTTGTCTGCATTAGCAAACGTTTAGTGTAAGACATACACGTTAATTTACCAATATACGTTATAAATGGATACAACGTACAGTGATGCACCGCTTCACGGTTTTATGATTTATAGAAAAGAATAGTGTCAGGGGTTCTACAGTTGTTATCACATAATATATTGCGCATTTATGAGATCATTAGCTCATTGGTGTCTCCTGAGATTAATAGGGACACAGAGGAATCATAGATCAATAGGGTTTTAAAGCTGTGTCTCTAAAATTTGCAGGTAGATATGGATCAGGAGATGGCACCCATAGACATAGAATCTCAAACTCAGGAAACCCCTGACATATTTCACAAAGGAAAACGTCCTGTGGTTCTTAAGGTATGCATGCATTACATAATGTCCCTCTATTTTCCCCTATAATCAAATTCTATAGCCTTTCAAATAGTTATATAGTATGTTTCTATCGCAATGAATCATCTTGTTTAGTAGTCCCCAGATGCATTTTCAATCCTGTAGATAATTATTCTTTTTGCAACTTATTCTTGATAGTACTTTTTTTTTCAAAACATTATATAACTTTTTCCCCATAAGTTAAACCAAATCCATGCACACTTTCTTCTTCAACATTCCTCTTTTATTTCTATGGAAAAATCAGTTTAAAAAAATGTAAAAAAATGATTTTGATGTCATGTCGCGATTTTGGTTGCGACAGATAGGGTGTGATGCTTCCAATTTTTTCCCTTTAGAAGTTATTGTCAGCATGATAATAAGAACCACCGCTGATTTTTGTTTTTACATTTGAATCACTGCAGTTTGATGATGTTGTCTTTAAAATCAAGCCCAAGAAAGGTGGACCATTTGTGAAGAACGGAGTGGCAGAAGAAAAAGAGATTCTGAAGGGAGTGACTGGTGTTGTTGAGCCTGGTGAGATGCTAGCCATGCTGGGTCCATCTGGGAGTGGCAAAACAACTCTGCTCACAGCATTGGGAGGAAGGCTTGGAGGGAAGCTTGATGGAAACATAACATACAATGGCCAAGCCTTCTCAAATGTAATAAAGAGGAACACTGGCTTTGTTACTCAAGATGATGTTCTCTACCCGCATTTGACTGTGATTGAGACCCTAGTCTTCACTGCGCTTCTCAGATTGCCCAACAGTGTCACCAAAGAAGAGAAAGTTGAGCATGCAAGAGCAGTGATAAATCAACTTGGTTTAAGCAAGTGCAAGGATAGCATTGTTGGCAGTGCTTACTTGAGGGGGGTTTCTGGGGGAGAGAGGAAGAGGGTTAGCATTGGACAAGAACTACTCATAAACCCAAGTTTGTTGTTTCTTGACGAACCTACCTCTGGGCTAGACTCAACCACAGCACAGAGAATTGTCTCAACCTTGTGGGAGCTAGCAAGAGGGGGTAGAACTGTTGTGATGACAATACACCAACCTTCAAGTAGACTATACTACATGTTTCATAAGGTGTTGTTGCTATCAGAAGGAAACACGTTGTATTTTGGAAAGGGATCTGAGGCCATTGAATATTTTTCTAATATTGGATATGCCCCAACATTGGCCATGAACCCCGCAGACTTCCTTTTGGATCTTGCAAACGGTATGTTTTTATTTTATTTCCCTGTGTATTTCACAAATATCACCTGTATTTTATACAAGTTTAGAAGAGTTTTGAGATATTTTTTTGCAGGAAAACTCTTTACTTTCAATTGAGAAGCTTTCAAAACATTTTCAAAACACGACATATTAGAAGGTTGCGTGTAGTTATTTAGAGAAATATTTTTTTTAATATTTTAGGAGTATAGTGGTCCACTAAAAAATAGAAACCAAAATCAGTTACATGTCCCAGTATAACAGTATCCCTTTTATAATATATATGTATCCAGATATGCTCTATATGATTTAGAATCTATTACATTTGTAAAATACTATTCGCTCCTGAAATTGGAGCCTTGACAAGTACATTTTCTACCAAATGTATGAACATTATACTATAGTCATATATGTTGACGGGGAAAGATGTTTTGACTTCCATTTGATTTTTATTTTTGAAATGATTTGCTTAGAATTTACCTCTTCTATCTTTCGACTTTTATACAATTCAGAGTTAAATATATACTCTGTTAATGTGAATTAGATTCTAATGCTACTGGATGGTAAAAGTGAGTTTCGATTCGAGCTTCTGATTTTTGTTTTTGTAAAAGTAAACACATTTTTTAGTTACTTTGCTAAGTGTGAATTCATTGCAGGTATATACACTGATGAATTGAATGAGGATCATGCCATAGATAAACATAAATTGATTTCGGCATGCAAGAAAAACTTGGCTGCACAATTGAAGCCAGCACTTCAAGGAATCAGTGACTCTGGTAAAAACCAGAAAAGATTTCTGGAAAGAGGCTCTGGAAAATGGCCAACCAGCTGGTGTCAGCAATTCTCAGTGCTGCTAAGAAGGGACATCAAAGAGAGAAGGCATGAATCATTATCTGTTTTGCGGATTGGTCAGGTCCTTGTGGTTTCACTTATTTCAGGACTACTGTGGTATAAGTCTGATATTTCACACTTGCAAGATCAGGTAAAAAGTTTCAAAATATTAATCTGGTTTTCATGAGTTTGACTAAAAAGTCTGTTTGCATAAAGTTAGAAACGCTTTTGAGAGCTTCTTTCCTAAAAATTAAAAAGTTGAAGTTTGAAAACCTCTTCTAAAGTTGAATCCTAAAACGCTCTAAAACAATATCCTTCTAAAATGATAATTATGAGTGAAACTATATTGTACATGCAGATTGGGCTTCTATTCTTCATGTCTGGCTTCTGGGGTTTCTTCCCTCTCTTCCAAGCAATTTTCACATTTCCCCAAGAGCTACTGATGCTAGAGAAAGAAAGATCTTCTGGAACGTACAGGCTTTCCTCATACTTCATGTCAAGGATGGTAGCTGACCTTCCCATGGAACTTGTTCTTCCCACCATATTTCTTTTCATATGCTATTGGATGGCAGGGTTGAGAGCTAATGCACTCAGCTTCTTGTACACATTGCTCACCCTCTTGTTCAATGTGTTGGTCTCACAAGGCCTAGGCCTTGCCCTTGGTGCTTCTGTCATGGATCAAAAAGCTGCAACCACACTTGCCTCAGTCATCATGCTATGCTTCTTGCTGGCTGGGGGATTCTATGTTCAGCATGTTCCAAAATTTATTGCATGGGTCAAGTACATTTCCATCAGCTTCTACACCTACCAGCTCTTTATTGGCTCGCAGTATCACCACGGTGAGACATACCCTTGTTCTGTGGGTCAGTGCCAAATTGCAGATTTTCCTTCTATAAAGGGAATGGGAATTCATTTTAGTTTGCATGAGCAAATCATGGCTGCATCAGCTTTAATGATAATGCTAATAGGTTATAGACTTATAGCTTATCTTGCTCTCATGAGGATTGGGGTGATAAAGAACTAGACTAGTGTCGTTCTCTGATCAGGTTTAGTACTTGAATTAGATTTTGATTTTCTTCGGTTCAAACTCTTATTCTAGTCCTGTAGTGTCCCAAAGTAACTAGATAGTTCTTGTGAAACATCTGGTGGCCAGAGTGACATATGTATTTGATATAGACAAAGTCCATATAGAACATCATGTTGATCGAGATATTTTCTGTTAGACTATTATCCTCTATGAGAAGCAAATTTCTTCGACTCTAGTAGACCAAATAGCATAATTTTCCTTTCGAATATTTATAATCCATTTAAGTAAGAGTAAAAATCAAATGATATCAACGTAATTTTTATATGTTATGACATCATTTAATAACTTTTTTGTTAAAAATGAATTTTACTGATCTTGAATTATATTTTAATATATTTATGTCAAATTTCATCAAAATTGAATAACAATTAAAATATAATCAAATTATTTATATTTTGAAATATATATATATATATATATATATATATTACACAAAATTTAACTTATATAAATAAAGTATCAAATAATTTTAGATTAATGTAAAATTTTATATGTATAATTTAGAAGAAAAAAACTTTCAATTTAAATATAAATTTTATAAAATAACCTTTTAATTGAAAGTTATTGAAGAATATGATAATCAGTAAAAGTTACAACTATTTGCTCTTTCTCTTTTAAATAAACCTTTCTAAAATGTTGATAGGAAAAGAGTGTAAAAAGTTAAAAATATAATTAAAATTAACTTATGTATAAATTTTTTTTATTTTTTTATATTAATTACTCCAAAAACTTAATTTTAACTTATACATAACTTAATAAATTTATTGGATTTTTTTCCTATAAATATTTTTAATAAAAATCTATGTAAACAGAGCATACCAAGAACCGAAAATCACTATCACTAAACTAACATCTTTGCTTTGATTTTAGAAAAGGAAATAAACGTAACGATTTTTATGGTGGTAATGTTGATCTTTTTTTCTTCTTCTTCTTTTTGGTCACAATGGTGGCAATGTTGATCTTTTTTTTTTTTTTTTGTTATAATGGTGGCAACTCTTCTGGCTGCGAAGAGTCGATATATTTTAATTTATTTTACACTCTTTTTATTCTATTCCATGCTATATTATAATTAAAATATAAATTTATTCCATGTTATATTTACTATAAGAAAAATGAAATTTTTTTGACGGATATAATCAGTTAGAAAGAAGGAAAATCTCGGAATTTATCAATTTCTGATGGATGCAAATCCGTCGGAAAAATGGGCGTCAGAAAAAAAAAATTCGTCGAAAAAAATTTAATTCGTCGAAAATTTTTGACAGATACATCCATCAAAAATTTCTGTCAGAAATTATCGATGGATACATCCGTCAGAAATTGTTTGAAAATATTTATATGATTATGACGGATAAATGCGTTAAATTTTTTTTATTTAATTTTAATAAATTTATTAATGTAACAACCCTCATATTTGGCCTCTCAAGAATTCTATTTCACGATACTTCACTTTTTAGCGTGTTTTTCCCTTACTGCACAGTTTCTGGAAAACTTCCCAGAGAAAGTTACTCATCCCTATATTACTCCAAGTCAAGCACGCTTAACTGTGGAGTGTTTTGCCCGCCCTTACTGCACAGTTTCTGGGAAACTTTCCAGAAAGTCACCTATCCCTATATTACTTCAAGTCAAGTACGCTTAACTGCGGAGTTTTGATTAGATAAGCTACAGAAAGGCTGATGCATGTTGTCAGTATAGGTAGTACAAATTAATTCATTTAAGTCATCCTCAACTATACAATCTCATACTTATACTATCTTTGAATCCCTATCATTTGAGTGTATCTTGGCTATTATAAAAATATAATAATATATATAATAATTATATTACCAATAATAATAATTATGTTATATTTAATTATTTTTTATTTATATATATACTTACTTTTATAATTAATAATTTACTTATTTCTATTTAAAATTAATATTAATTATGATACAA